CATCTAAAACCTTCTTTTTACGCATGTAAACAAGCGTAATCACACCCCTAAACTTAACTTTTTGCTTGTCCTCAAGCAAAACTTAGCAACTTTAATCAGCTTTCTAACACATGGACAAGGAAAAGCAAAAGCAACCGAGATGTTCAATCATAAATTGTCTCAAGGAAAAGATGTCAAAGCCTACCATTCTATTGCCTTCGTAAGTTTAGTCACTATAAACCAAGTTTGAAATGATAAAAACTTTCTCTTTCAAAATCCTTTTTCCTTTCAAAAACAGAAAACGTTTTCAAATACCCCTAAGGAATCTGCACACTCCCTCCTTACACTAAGACTTTTACATCTGAAAGACCGGCTACTAGCCCCTGAGGTTTCCACACACTAACATCGGTTTCAACCACAGCTACTCGTAGAAAAACTTTGAACTAACAGCTAGGTCATAAAACGACGACAATGAGAAACACGAAGTCACTTATCACCATCTTTACTCCTATTTTCAAAGTCAACACCCAACCTAAAACTAAATGGGTGTCTACAGTAGGACTCGGAAATCATAAATACATTTTCTTTAACTCTCATTGTTTTTACCACTCTTTTCTTTCTAACACAAGTCTTTTCCCCACTCTTATTTTCTCTCAACAATACTCCTTTTTACTCTTTTGCAACTTTTGTTTTGTTTTGTTTTTTTCACTTATTCTTTTCAACACTTTCTTTTTGTAATAGCATTTGTTTTTCCAACTGACTCTTTTTCAAAAGAAAATAGCATGAGTTTTCAAATATAAATAACACTTTATCTTTCTGAAACAACGACTGACAAAACGACTGTCCCCCCAAACTTAAGAGAGACAGTGTCCTCACTGGGAAAAGACTTTTGCATCGGATGAAAAAGGCTTAACAGTAAAAAGGACAAGGACTTCCTATATAGGGGCAAAGAAAAAGCTTAAAGTTTGTAAAGATCAAAAAGACATAAAAGAAAATGAGTTTATCACATAAACAAAGGAAATAGCTCAAAGCTTAGTCAGGCATAGAACAGAAAACTCAACAATCTCTTATAATCATCATCGACATGAAATCACATGCACAGCACAGATGCTTCAAARTAGGCATGTGAAAAGCTAAACTAAGGYTAAGTGAAGGCATACTTTAAGTGATCAGAAGATAAAYGATACTAATTTATTCMTGCTTCAACTGAGYTCGAAACATAATCAATACAAAAACATGCGTAGTAATGCTAGAATATGCAAACTACGTCATTAAACAAAAGAATAAAACACAAAAGATAGCAAAGAAGGAACCTCCCCTTCATGAAGTTGGAGGTTGGGTACTAGGATCAGTGTCGGTACTGGAAGATGGATGACCAAGGATAGCAGCTAGCGCTGGAGGCCATGAAGGTAAAACCGCAAAATCCAATGAAGCCCTCAAGTTGTAGATATGTTGCACGACTTCTCGAACCTGATCTCGCAGCTGTTGATTCTCCTCTCGAAGACGACGGATCTCCGATGTAGGAGACATCCCAGTACCTTCCCTTCTTTGTAACGCATGGGCGATAATACGCCAAATATTCTTCTCTTCCACAATTGGGGCATCTCTCTTAACTTGATCCTCAGGGAGCTGTACACCTTGTCGCAAGCATAAAGAAGTGACCAATCGTGGGTGATAAAGCTTACCACGTGTCCGGTGGGCACACTCATGGATACTGGTATTGATCAATTCTCCATAATTCACATCTATGCCCTTTAGCATGGCATAAACCAGCAGTGCCCTATCCTGAGTGACATGCTCATCATGCTCCGTTGGCAGAATTCTGTTTTTGACTATGTATAACCATCCTGCAGCAGCTAGGGAAACATCCTCGGGTTTTAGTCGTACCTTGCCATGAGTAGTCAAATCCCAAGTGGCAGAGGGCTTCCCAACACATGCTAGAGCCTCATCAAGCTGTGCTAGAGTCGGAGTCACTAACATCTTATTGTCCACAGCATCTCTGATATTCTCAATGTTGAAGGTGTAGTTGATCTGAGTGGCATCAAACTGTATTTCCTTCCCGCGCACTATGGCTATATGTGACTGGGGATGGACAGCAGCATAGAACTCTCTAACTAACTCCAAAGCCTCACATTGTATGGGCTGAATGAGTGGTCTCCACTCTTTGTCTCTAGCGGTCTCCCTCCAATCATCAGGCACATCTCCTAGAGTGAGATCGAATCCCAATTCTGTCATAAACTTACGGGATTTCATTAATGAAGTTCGAGTGGCTAAATTTGCCGCGTTCCATTTCGTCTCGACCTCCTCTCCCTCAGACAAGTCCAGTTCAATTGTATCAACTGGCCCAGGTGCCACTACCTTCTTCTTAGCTTCAGCTGCTTTAGCTTTCGCAACTCTCGTTTTAGGTTCATTCATGGGCACTGTCGGCTTCTTAGCCTGAACTGCACGACTTTTGAACTATTTTTCTCCCGCCTCTTGTATTGGAACATTTCCCTTATCGTCTGCATGTCCTCAAGATCTTCTTCGCTAGTAGGTTCTTGAGTACTATTCTCCCCAACCTCGGATCTACCTGTATCACACCCAAGCGGGTTAACTGTATTAGAAGGAATAGTGTGAGCATCCCTTACCCCTGGTAGAGTGGCCATCAGTGTGACATACTCATCCGTTGCCAACGGAATAGATCCAGTTGCCCCAGTAGGCAACTCTTGGTGACTACAAAACGCTCCTTCTGTAGGTGTATCCAATGGGGAAGGTTCCTGAGTATCTGTTCTCACCACTTCGTTCTCGGTATCCTCTGTTTCCGGCATATTTGAACAATGGCCTCGTGAAACCAGTAGAAAATCATCATTACCATCTTCCGATGTAATAATCAATGGAGATGAATAAAACTGCTCCTCGTCCCTGTTCTCCATAGATGAATCCTTAGGCGTCAGACGCCTACTACTCCCATCTTCCTCAATTTCTGGGTCTATCATCACCTCCTTGCCCTTCCTCTTTTGCCCTATCAACACCCCGGGCTCTAGCCTATGGCTATGACTCTTTTCTTGCTCTCCTCCATGCTCATCTCCTACATCCATTGGCATATTGGTTGGGGTTGGCATCCTAGGAGGCTCTAAGGGTTTTAGTTGTCCCATGTTGAAGGTACTCAATATGTTAGGGTTCAATTGGGGTGCTTGAGGTCCTCTTTCTAGGAATGAAAGTTGAGGTGGTGGGGGAACCCTAGGTGAAATCATCCCATAATTGGTTGGGGGTACCCAATGACCCATTCCATAATAAGGTATAAGGCTAGGAAATAGAGTAGATGGGTTTGGCATTCCATAAGGATGAACACTAGCTGGAATTTGCATTTGGGACAAGGGAAAATGATAGGAAGGAACCAGGTTAAACATAAACGGTTGGTACATACCCGGATTGATCATTGGAGGAAGTTGTTGAGGATTTTCAGCCCTAAACTCACTGCTTTGAGGTATATTAAAGGTGGGTAGTTGCTGAAAATTAACATAACCATGTGGGCTCATTATAGGATGTTGTGTAGGAGCTTGGGATGGAGGACATTCAAATGTTTGAAGCGGGTTTCCTCCCCTAACAGCAGCTAGCCTAGAATCTGAAACCATGTGGTGTTGGAAGTTCTCCAATGGTGGAAAGGGAATGCTTGTGGCATTTGGAGCTTGAGTAGAAGAGGTAGGAAGTGAAGTATGTAAGAAGAAGCCATAGATGTAAGCAAATGCTGGAAATTTCTTCTTCTTTTTGGTGGTGGCTGAAAATCGAAAACAAGGGTGATGAAGGGAGTGAGTTTTGCCGAAAAAACAAGGGGAAGAAGAGAGTTGTGTGGGTTTTGGTGGAATTGTAAAGCTTAGGCAATGAGTCTATTTAAAGCTTTCCCCAAACTAAATCCTAAATGGAAAGGGATTGAGATTTAAGTTCAACTAGGTTTCCTAAACCTAAAAGGAAAAAAATAACAAATTTGAATACCAAATAGGATTAGGGAAACAAAATTTGAGTTTGAAGAGAAGTTTTAAAGTTAAATCATAGAGGATTAATGTTTGAYCMAAAATAAAGCCCATATTATCGAAAATTAAAACCCAAACCGTGAAGGAAAATATTTTCGAACTTCTGAAAAAACAGGGCAGGCGCCAGGCGCCTGCGTGATTTATTTTCGCAAAGGGCAGGCGCCAGGCGCCTGCGTAATTCTTTTTTTTTTCAATGTTTTTTTTTCTGTTTTTTCTTTCTTTTTGTTTTTTCAACGTTTTCACAAACATTCTCTTAATAAGAAAAACTTTATAATTAAACAAAAAGAAAATACAAGATACAAAGACTTCCTTCCTTTACTTTTGTTCTTTCAAAAACGGATAAGAAGGAAAAAAACATTTTTCGCAAAAATTTATTGACCTGAAAGTTGAATAGAGGTTTTTCCTCTATCCACTGGTTCTCCAAAATATGGCTTAAGTCTCTGCCCATTTACTTTAAAAAYAYYTCCCTTAGAGTCAACTAGATCCACTGCCCCATATSGGTARACTTTAAAAAYTTTAAAGGGACYAGRCCATCTAGACTTAAGTTTCCCAGGAAAAAGTTTCAACCTAGAATTGAATAACAGAACCAGATCACCTTCTTGAAGATTGTTCGGTCGAAGATGCCTATCGTGCCACTGTTTAGTTTTTTCCTTAAACAGCTTAGCATTCTCATAAGAAAATTGCCTGTGTTCTTCTAATTCCAACAATTGTAACTTCCTCGCTTCACCTGCAGCCGACAAATCAAAATTTAATTTCTTAGTAGCCCAAAATGCTTTATATTCTCGCTCAATAGGCAAATGACATGCTTTTCCAAAAACTAGCCTATGGGGGGACATGCCGAGGGGAGTCTTAAATGCTGTCCTATATGCCCAAAGTGAATCATCAAGCWTAAAAGACCAATCCCTACGGTTAAGATTTACAGTTTTTTCTAAAATGTTTTTTATCTCCCTATTAGATATTTCGGCTAACCCATTCGACTGAGGATGATATGCTGTTGCAACCCTATGACGCACATTGTATTTATTCAGCAACTTTTGCATAGACCTATTCACAAAATGAGCTCCCCCATCACTTATCAGATAACGCGGGTTCCATAACGCGTAAAAATGTGCTTTTGCAGAAAACAAATGACAACTTTAGAATCATTAGTAGCAGTTGCAATGGCTTCTATCCATTTCGAAACATAATCTACTGCTAACAATATATAAAGCTTACCAGAAGAAGATGGAAATGGACCCATAAAATCTATACCCCACACATCAAATATTTCAATCTCCAGGATCGGGGTTTGAGGCATTTCGTGGCGTTTAGATATATTACCTGTCCGTTGGTATTTGTCACAAACCTGGGCAAACTTATGTGCATCTTTGAACAGAGTGGGCCAAAAGAACCCACTTTGCAAAACTTTAGCTGCGGTTTTGTGTCCTGCAAAATGTCCTCCATATGGAGACATATGACAAGCGTCTAATATCGCCTCGTGCTCTTCTTCTGCGACACACCTGCGTAAGATATTGTCAGGTCCTAGCTTATATAAAAAAGGCTCATCCCAACGATAAAATCGAACTTCATTTAGAAATTTCTTTACCTGTTGCTTGTTGAACTCATAAGGAACTATTCGACTTACCAAATAATTTGCTATATCGGTATACCACGGAACTGAATCAACTCGCAAGAGTTGTTCGTCAATAAACTGTTCACGTATAACAGTTCCATCATCACAGAGCGGGGATTCCAATCTAGACAGGTGATCAGCAACTTGGTTTTCAGTACCCTTCCTGTCCCTAACTTCAATATCAAACTCTTGAAGTAACAAAATCCACCGTATCAAACATGGYTTMGCATCTTTTTTAGCAAATAAATATTTTARAGCAGAATGGTCAGTAAAAACAATGACTTTTGTGCCTATYAAGTAAGACCTAAACTTATCAAAGGCGAACACAACTGCTAACAGTTCCTTTTCAGTAGTAGTGTAATTGAGTTGTGCACCGGTCAGAGTCTTACTAGCATAATACACAGGATGCAAGATCTTGTTTTTACGTTGTCCTAACATAGCTCCTATTGCATAATCACTRGCATCACACATGAGCTCAAAAGGTAAATCCCAATTAGGTTCGATAATTATAGGGGYTGAACTTAGAGCAACWTTCAACATTTCAAATGATTTTAAACAGTCATCATAAAAAACAAATGGTCTATCATGTTCTAACAATTGACACAAGGGTTTAGAAATTTTAGCAAAGTCTATTATAAAGCGGCGGTAAAATCCCCCATGCCCTAAAAAACTTCTAATCCCTTTGACATTTGTAGGAGGAGGTAGCTTTGAAATGATRTCKATCTTAGCGTGGTCTACCTCTATTYCTTGCTTGGAAATTTTGTGACCCAAAACAATACCCTCTTGTACCATGAAATGACACTTCTCCCAATTTAGGACTAGGTTTGTTTGTTCACATCTCTCCAATACTCTCTCCAAATTAACTAAACATGCGTCAAAAGAATTTCCAAAAACAGAAAAGTCATCCATAAAAACTTCTATAATATTTTCTACCATGTCAGAGAAGATGGCCATCATACACCTCTGAAAAGTCGCGGGTGCATTGCATAGTCCAAAGGGCATTCGCCTAAAAGCGAACGTAGCATACGGACACGTAAATGTTGTCTTCTCTTGGTCTTCTGGAGCAATAGTATTTTGATTATAACTCGAATATCCATTTAAAAAACAATAGAAATCCTTACCTGCCAGACGGTCGAGCATCTGGTCAATAAACGGGAGAGGAAAATGGTCTTTCTTTGTTACCTTGTTGAGTTTGCGATAGTCAATGCAAAATCTCCACCTGCTCACAGTTCGGGTTGAGATGAGCTCATTCTCCTCGTTGGCCACCACGGTTATACCCCCTTTCTTTGGTACACACTGTACTGGGCTTACCCAGCTGCTGTCGGATATTGGGTATATAACACCGGCGTCAAGCCATTTAAGAATTTATTTCCTTACAACCTCTTTCATCTTCGGGTTCAACCGCCTTTGACTCTCAATAGAGTTCTTAGCATCTTCCTCCAATAAAATTTTGTGCATGCAAAAGGCCGGGCTTATCCCTCGGATATCTGCTATCGTCCATCCAATGGCCTTTTTGTGCTTCTCCAAAATCTACAATAAAGAATATTCATTAGCAGGTGATAAATTGGAGGCTATAATAACTAGTAAAGTGTCGTTATCCCCTAGATACGCATATTTCAAATGCGACGGCAATGGCTTCTACTCCAACGTGGGTGGTTCCACTATGGACGGAAGTAACGACTTGCATTCTTCTTTTTGTATTTTTTCAACAGGATTGGTCACATCTTCCGGTCCTTCTGCTAAGTATCAAGCTCTTCTTCAATCTCTGTAACTAACAAGTCATAAAACTCATCAAACATAAYAGGATTCAWGCTAKTTATAGCAGAGCACTCTTCAAAGTCTCCTGGTAATTTCATGGCGTCTAGAACGTTAAATTTAACTTCTTCATTATTTACCCTCATTGTAATTTCTCCCTTCCTCACATTAAAAACTGTATCCCCAGTGGCTAGAAATGGTCTTCCCAAAATAATGGGAACGTCTAAGTCTGCCTCGCAATCTAGAATGATAAAGTCCGCAGGGAAAATGAATTTGTCCACCTAGACTAAAACATCTTCTATCTTTCCCTCAGGTCTTATGATAGATCTATCTGCTAGTTGGAGGGTAACCGTAGTAGGTCTAGCTTCTCCTATGCCTAAAGATTTGAAAACTGATAATGGCATAAGATTAATGCTAGCGCCTAGATCACATAATGCCCTACCTAAGTTTTTTCCTCCTATGGAACATGGAATGGTAAAACTGCCAGGATGATTACACTTCATGGGTAGCGGGTTGCCTACAGCTTCACTACTACATTTTGTCATGGCTACCAGTTCATGCTCTCCTATCTTTTTCTTCCTAGAAACTATATCTTTCAGAAACTTAGCATAATTTGGCATATGTTCTAGAGCATTTACTAATGATATATTTATATGCAATTGTTTTAAAATATCTAAAAATTTTCTAAACTGGGAATCATTATTTTTCTTAACTAATCTTTGTGGAAACGGGGGAGTAGGGGTAAAAGAAGGTTGTACCTGTCGAGGAACACTCGGGGTGTCCTCATTAACTTTTCTAGTATTTTCTTTTTCTCGTGTTGTTGGATTCTCTGGTATCTTTACAGTTGGTTCAGTGGACGGAATCTGTACATCTGTTGTTGGCATTGTTGGTCCATCATATGCCAGTCCACTCCTAAGGGTGACAGCTTTGCACTATTCTTTCCCTTCTCGTTTTGGTATTTCAGTATGGCCTGAAAAAGAACCTTGTGGTCTATTCTTCAATTCATTGGCGAGCTGTCCCAATTGGGTCTCAAAATTCCTCATTGATGCCGCTTGGGATTGTATCACTGCGTCGGTTCAGGCCATGTACTCCTTCATCATGTTCTCAAGATTTGAGTTGTTATTTGAAACTGGTGGTGTCTGTGTTCTCTGATTGTACTACTGTTGCGGTGGCGGGATGTATTGCTGTGTAGGTGGAACATAGGGCTGCTTGTTCTGCTGGCTCTGCCCTTGATTAAAACCGCTCGAACGTCCTTGACCTCCCCATGAGAAATTAGGGTGGTGCCTCCAACCTGGGTTGTAGGTGTTCGAATATGGGTTAAAGTTCCTATTGTTCTCATGTCCTACATAAAAAACGGATGCAGGGTTATGTGGACAATTATCATAAATATGGTTTTCACTGCAAAATGAACAAATGAGATCGTTGACTTGGCAAACAAGGGCAGGAGTGCAATAATCCGACTGCACAGGTTGTATCGGCGTGGCTAATGGATTTTTTATTCCCAATGCCATCTCTTTTAGCCTCTGGTTCATTGTAACCATCTCTTTTTACATCGAGGTCGCAATGTCCAGAGCCAAAACTCCAGCTGGATCTTGCTTCTTYGGTGCTGCCCTAGATCTTTGCGAACACCATAGTTCGTTGTGTGAAGCTAAGTCATTTAGGATGTCAACTATCTCGTTGAATGTCTTCTTTGTAAAGGCTCCGTTTGCAGCATTGTTTAGCATCATCTTAGTAGGATGATCTAAACCTCTAAAGAAATGTTCTATCTGGATGCATGCCGGCAAGCCATGGTTCGGACATTTCCTGATTAGTTCTTTAAATCTCTCCCACGCCTCGTGAACAGGTTCACGATCATACTGTCTAAAGGAGATGATCTCCTCTCTGATATCAGCGTGGCGAGTAGGTGGGAAGAATTTTGTTAAGAACTTCTCCACTAACGACSCCCATGTGGTGATGGATCCCGGTGGAAATGCATTGAGCCATGCTCTAGCTTGGTCCTTCAAAGAAAATGGAAAAAGTGTTAGYCTMAGAGCATCGTCTGTTATACCAGGTAATCGAAATGCATTTGCTATTTGAATGAATGATTTCAGATGATCATGTGGATCCTCATGTTCCTGCCCTCCAAAATGTCCAATTGTCTGCAACATTTGGAACATCATTGGTTTAAGCTCAAAGTTTGCGTGGGCTGGAATAGGGTTGACTATCCCTGAATCAAAGTTCTGAAAAGCCGTGGCGGCATATTCTCGCATTGCCACGTCTCTGTTGTCCGCCATCTGGATATGGTTGAATTCATCATTTCTTGCATGATCCCTCATATTACCGTTAACAGYAGGTGGATCAACCGGATCACGAGGTGGAATATCCGCCATTGATGTGCTCGTACTCTCTACCTCACTTTCAGGACTGATTTCACCTTCTCTCTCTTTTTGCTTTTCTAGTTGTTTTCGAAGTCTTTGCTCCTTTCGAGTTTTTCGAAGGGTCCGCTCAATCTCAGGGTTAAGGGGTAGAAGAAAAGATCTTGTGCTCATGCACCTTAACTTACCCTTGTGAGATAAACGACCAAAATATAGAACAAAAACGGTGGATGGAAATTACACCCAACAACAATTCACAAAAATAAAAACTAAAAGAATTTGAAAATAATTTTAAAACTAAAGTCCCCGGCAACGGTGCCAAAAACTTAATTGGCGTTTTTGCTGAACGCACGCACTAAGCGTGGTAACAATTATATAGATGCAAGCGCACACCTGTCAGAGTAATATAAAATGGATGGAGTATCC